TTTAACATAACAGCAAATGTACCCAATGATGACAAAACTTTGTCGAAACGTTGTACATTTGCTGTTATGTTAAACTTAAAGTTTTTCTTCATTACCCATTCAAGCCGTCTCCAAGCATTATTAACCGAGAATTGGTAACTTTAACTATTAACAGCGTATTAATTTGTAACTTTTTTGTCATTATGGTATTATTTCAGAAAAACTTGTAGTAATTAGTAAAGTGTTATTATTAAGCCCGTGAGTCGTACTCATACTATCAATATCATACTTATAGTGCGAGTGTAAGGGGGTGTAAATGACTGGCACCTAGTTTGTTCTTAAGATATGTTTAATCCCAAATTAAAAGAATGTAAATTTTATGCATTAAAAATAATAAGATACTAAATAAATTGAAAATATGTGCTTACATGCTCTACAACTCGATCATTCCACCCACGAGTTAGACAAAGATGGCCATATCAATGTGTTCCAGATTCCCTATTTCCAAATATTGATATTACGAAGTGGAAAATACAAAATGTTTTCATTTCTGTACGTTATAATGACTATTTTTTATACTTTATTCTGGGGCACAGCACAGATAGTCCATTGTGGAGCTTTGTACCTAACTAAAAAGGGATAAATCATTTTGTCTTAAAATAACAAAAAGGTAAACTAATTATTGTATTTATTTATTTCTCTCTATTCAATTTGTGCTTAAAATGTTGTTTAACGAAACATTTATAGAAGAATCTATTATAAGAACTCCACCCCGGTGGCTCAACGGAAACTTGGAGGTCTTATAACGCTATAAATTGGTATCAGATGAAGACAGTTCATAAAATATAAAACATTTTACTTACAAGGTTTGAACGTTTCGGAATAACGTGTTCCATCTTCAGCAAAATTTGAAATTGTGCTACAAAGATGATTATAACTAAAATTATAATATAATAATATAATATAATTAGTAATTAAGAAAAGCGGTAAACTCGCTCAGGGAAATTTGCTCACACTTGAAGTGCTCAGACCAGTTGAATAAATGGACCACTGAAAATTGATCTCAGGAAAATTCAAGCATGAACAAACAAGGTTCATCAGAATTGAATAGCATGTGACGTGCCCAAGTCCACATGAAAAGGTCTCTACCAAACTCCTATGCTCTTACTAGTCAGAGCACAGCAGCTCCAGCTCTGGTCAAGATAACTAAAAACTAGTGGATAGATGTTGGACATGCTGATAATGAATAATTTCTGCCATTCATAGTTGAGGCAATAGATGCTCATGGATGAAGATTGTGATCCTGCAAGAGAGAAACTAGACTGATTCCTAAAATGTTTCAGGCAGGTTACTGTAGGAAACAGATAGACTCATGAATAGGCTGTTCAGTTGTTTTGTCCTGAGCTTAGAAAGATCTCTATGATATTAAATATCTGTATGAGGAGCAGTATGATGACTAGGAAACAGTTATGTATGAGCTATGTTGCTGATTTAACTCAGTCAAGAATCAGATAATATACTGGGCCAATTTCAAGACCACTTACACATAGCATCTGTGCCAATTGGGAGGGTATACCCAACAATGGCGTCTGCACATTAGAAGGGGAATCCTGGTTGATAAAATCGTTGAGGGCATTTCAATGAGTTTAAGTGACAGCACCTGAGAATGAGGGACATCCTCACTCTCAAAAAAGCAGTGTTCATCATAACATGATTTGAAGTCGTCATTTCCAACTGGCCATCTGAGAGAATGAAGCCTGCAGTGGCAACTTTAGTGGCAATTCCACTAGTGGATGGTGTGAACTTGGCCTCTACTGGGTTGGTCTAGACTAGCAACTAGATGCCTCTGCTGGATGAAAATACAATGGAACCAAACTGGTATCCAACGAATTGGCAAGACTATGCAGATCCACTCATGAGATACATGCAGCAGTAAGTTTCATTCAAAGGATACATGCTACAGCAAGGTCTGCCCATAGGGTATATGCCTTTAAAAGAGTACATGCCACTACCTGGTCTGCTCATGGAATGCATACCAAAATTACAGACAATGCCTTTGTCTAGGCATTATCTAGGATTGGAAGAGCAAAGTGTTTGCTTCACTTGTTGGCTAGTGTGGCATTAGTGAAGGAATTGCCCGTACTTTGCTTTGCAAAAAAAAAAGGCAGAGCTATAGGCTCAAACTGATAGATCAGTAGATGCCGGGCAACTCATAATATCAGTACTTTGTAACCAGCCATTAGATCGGCATGTTCAAGATTACCAACAGGAAACAGTGAATGCTGTGGAAAATACCCAAACAAACTAACAGAGTCCATGTCATGATTGACTACCAGCCTAGAGAGCACAGTGGACAGCTTGCAACTAAAGGTTTAGTGGTCAGCCAAGCTCTGTCAGGGCTGGGTGGAGCTAGGTATGTGGTAATAAGGGTGTAAAGGTGAGAGGTTGAGTCTCTGGTAGGTACAGGAGAAGCGTGGCCCCTAGTGAGACAGTACTGTGTAATACAGACATAGGAGCTATGCATGAAATAAGCTGTTTCCTGTTCAAAAACCAGGCAGCATTAGTTCCAGCAGTGATCAGTCTAACAATGGATGGAGTCACATCATTGCTTTGTAACTATGGATGAGCAGCTCTCCTGCTGGACACTGGAATGATTGTAGGCACAGTGATCAAAGTGGGATTAACCAATTCTAGTGGTAATGCTATGGCTGAATATGTCGCATCAAATCATATGTTGCTACTGGCTTACCCCAGATTGTAGTTCGATAATTGTGCCAACAATCTAGGCCCAACGCGGTGAAAGCAGTTCATTGGCTTGTTGGGTGAATACTCTCATGTATTTATGGGACAAAATGGCTGACTGGGCCAAACAACAGTGACCCAGCATCATATAGACACACAGACAGAGTCATATAATCTTTGGAGAGTGCTTAGTCGCCTGCAGTTGTGATTGTTAAGAAGAAAGAAGGGACAATGAGGTTCCTTGTGAATTTTAAATTTCTAGATGTGGTGACTTGCAGTAATGCCTTTTTTTTACAACAAACAGATATATGCCTGTATATGTTAAAAGGTTCCTGTTGGTTCAACATGTTAGATTTTACATCTGGATATTAGCAAGTCAATAGACAGTGGACAGATGATTGAAGGTTAATATAACACCAATCCTTAAAATTAGAACTTAAACCCGCCCTTTTATTTTGCAGGAAATTATCAATTTCCCATATAAATTCTTGTAAATTGTTGTGCTCGACTACAGCCGATGATAAGTCATTTCATAAAAACTAATTGTGATACTACTGATTATTTGTATAGTTAATTTCTCAAAGATAGCTGCAGCTCTCACAAAAATGGAAGCACATTTTGGATGGAGTGAAAAATATGTATCATCACACACTTGACTTACCCATTACAAATCGGTACAATGCACCAAGTTTTTTGGGTTAACTAATAACGGGCTGTAAATAATTTAGAAAGAAAATTTGAGATTGGTTGGTTTAAGGTAGCAGAAGTTGAAATAAATATCAAAGTGTTAAGATATGGCTTTGGCTACAGCAGATATTACGGCAGTCCTGGGTGCATAACCTAGAACTAAGATAATAGCAAAAGCAGACTTAAAAGCCACTGCAGTTCCACCAGTCTCATCAACAATGTTACACATTTAACAAACATTATACCACTGTTTTATGTTAAAATGGAAGAAGATACAGAATGTTTTCTTGATGAAATTGATGAGGCTGCTAGAATTTCAAGTTGGACAGGTACTCAAAAAGCAGGTGTTCTTAGATTAAGAAGGTTTATTGGAGTCTATAACAAATTAAGAGTAACTCCTGATTTTAATTTTCTAACAAACGATTGCTGAGAGAGTATAGAAAGTGTGAGCCAAGAACTGTATAGTATGATTTGGAGAACTGGAAGGAACCCACACGATCCAGGGAACTAAATGTTTGCTGAGTTGTGGAAAGGGTTAGGTGTGGTGTAGACTTATCTACCCCAGTCTGATGGCTTGGCAGAACAAGTGATACAACTTCAAATTGTTGATCTGTGCTTTTTTATATTCTTTATGGTTTATGATGTCTATTCTGCCTATGAGGATATTAAAAGTGCACGTTTTTATATTTTGTATATATATATATATATGTGTGTGTGTGTGTGTATTTTTTCTTAGATAAAGATGATGTCCACAGTCTTTGATGTATACAAGTGTGTGTGAAAAAAAGTGTTTTGCACGTATAATTTTTCTCGTGTATAGTATGTATATGTTTAACATGCTACTACTCACTTGCACATGAGATTGTGTGAGTGAGATACAGTTATTATTTAGTCCCTTTTTTGTTTTTAATGTGTAAAGTTTTTACATATTAAAGATTTTTCTTTTAAGTGCTGCCATTTTTGTATTATTGTATGCTATATCTATGTTAGTGGCTATTTCATGCATTTTTGTTTAAGTTTTTTTGTTAGATTGTCCATTTTATGAGGGGTGATACTGAATCATTGTTAAATATAAAAACAAAATGAAGTTTTCATTGTTAAAGGGTCTTTTATTCTCTCTTTCTTCCTATTTTTAATTTAGTGATTAGTTTGTTTGTTTTTCGAGACTACCTACTTTATAGAAGAATCCTTTAGGAGAGATCTCTCCCTCAGTGGCTCAGTGGGAAGTTTGAGAGTTTACAATGATAAAAGTCGGGTTTCAACCTATTGTTTGTACAGCACACATAGCCAATTTGTGTTTAGCAAAAACAACAACGCATTATGAGATGTAAGTTCTTATTAACTAACATTAGCAAACTCGTGGGCCTATGGCCTACATTTACAGGGCCGCTATGATGCAAATTTAATGTTTGAACTACTAATTTGCATTTTTTCAGCTTAATGATCATTGCCATTATAATTAAACGGTAATTAGTAGGCCTACTTATTTATGTGCTCTAATGTAAATCAATGCCAAATTTGGGGTCTGCTTTTGGTGAATCCCTGTAAAAGTGTTTTGGCGAAATACACGGGTTCCCTAAAGGATTGGATGAAAAGTTTTACCTACGTGCAAACCTCAGGGCCGAGATGATTCGTTTTGTACCTTTTAGAAGTCAAAGTGACCAGCGGTTTAGGAGAAGTTACATGACAAACAGGCACTGAATCTTATTATATAGAAATACAATTTTTAGATATAAAACCTGATCGTATGTTTACTGCCTGTTTTGGTTATGTAGTTTTTTTTTTAATTTTTCGTTTATTCAATACGAATGCAGTTTTAGCATAAACACGTGATCCAGAAAGTCGTTAAGATTGCTTTATTCCAGTTGTTTTGTTTCTTTGTTCTCTATAGTATATGATGTCTATTCTGTTCAAGGAGACATTACAGTAAGATATAATATCTGTGATGAAAGGATTATCTCTGTAACTTGCTGGCCAAGTTGGCATTGTCTAAATGCGAACAAACGTCAAGAGGTAATGATGTCGACTATGGAAGGAAAAAAAAGAGCTTTCTTGTTGAATTCACATGCACTTTTTTAGTTCAGTTCTACTAGGAGATCATCAAATA